GAGAGAGAGAGAGAGAGAGAGAGAGAGAGAGAGAGAGAGAGAGAGAGAGAGAGAGAGAGAGAGAGAGAGAGAGGGGGGGCGACCTGCACGGAGGGTCGCGGCGAACTCTCTCTCTCTCTCTCTCTCTCTCTCTCCCACACGACTTCAACTTTTTGTCCGTTCGTTTTTTTTTTCGTTTGTGTATTTGTTTTTTTTTCCCTTCTTTTTTTTTGTTTTCTCTAAGTGTGTCGTTCCTAGGGAAGCGGGGCCCGGCCTTCGCGCAGCGACCGGGCCTTCCCTTGGCGCGTATACGGGAGTGCCCGCGGCCGATAGCTGAGCGAGGTACTGGTGGTTTAATCTTAGCTACTTACAAATATCCCTCGCTATACTGCATGCTCTTTTTTCTCAACACCGACATTGTGGGAGAGTCACGGCAAGACGACGACAGAGCCACATCAAGAAGCTGACAGCCCATGCCAAGATGAGACGGAAGCATAGAGCACATTTTTCTTTTTCATTTTCTTTTGTAAATGCAAATATCAGGGGCCAGCTGCTAGTGGAGGTGATAAGAGCAACCTCCAGTAGTAACATCCTTGTAGAGAACAAACGTGGAGAAATTCAAGACCGCATTCCATGTTGAATTACCCCAAACACAGTTCTTTCAGAAAAAGAGGATTATGCAAGCAGGCCGTGAAGAAGAAGACGCTAGAATCACACGCACGTTCTCTCTCGCGTGCAAGCATAGACTCGGTAACGAAAAGCATGGAGCACAATGGACAAGGCTTTAATCACGCATGCACAAGTTGCTGACCATATGGGAAGTGTATCGATGAAGAAAGACCCCAACCTGCCTCCAATCAATCAAAACAACAACAGTACTAATAATACATTGCAATATTAACCTTCTTCGTCTTTGACTGGCTGCCCAAGGTGGTGACCACATGCCCTAGTCCTCTATCCTACAACTCGCTGACATCCAATGCCACACAGCTCACTTCTGGTGTCACCTAACTTCAGTCAAAGAATGTACATTGCTCGAGCTGACTTGCCTACCACCACGTGTCCCTCGCCGCTCCTCTCGTGGTCTTCCTCTTCCCAAGGAACCCTCCTTGCACCACCTCTCTCTCTCTCTCTCTCTCTCTCTCTCTCTCTCTCTCTCTCTCTCTCTCTCTCTCTCTCCCTCCAGTGGCTGCACCAGCCAGGGTTTGCGCCCTCCCTTTTCCCAGTACTCGCTAGCTGATTTGAGTGCCCTTCATCACTGCTACTGCACTCTACCGACGCCCAGACAGCATGCAGCACGACGATGCCCACAGCTGCACGGCTGCCTCCCCATATGCCGGGGGAGACCAGTAGACACTGCCTCTCACGGCCTCCTCCAGACTCTTCCAGAGGGCAGTGCTTACTGGTAGCAGCCTGGTATCGACCCCTAAGTCTGATGGGCCTCGCCGGCGTGTCCCTTTCATTGTTGGCCAGGTCTGCTTAGGGCCTACCAACCCTCCCCACAGCTAGGTTCCCAAGGCCTCACAATTAACAACTGTCATTGCAGGATTGTTAATTCGTCAAACAACTGTGCCTATGGTCGTCAACTAGCACTTTTTGGCTGAGGGCCTCGCCACACCACTCTCGAATCTCGAAAATATTCGAGGGCTGTCAGGATTTTTCGAGAGGCCGGTTTTCGAGAGAAAATGGTCCTTCGCCACATAGCACACTAGACCGGCCTCTCAAAAATTCCTCTCGAGCGTGGATGCTATCCGCGGCCCGAGAAAACGGCCTGACAACTCTCGAAATGGACGTCGAACTCGAGCGCGGACGGGCAGTATCACGAAAACTCCAACGCTGCAGGGTGGGCGAAAACATCGTTTTGAGAAGGAACTCGAAAACGGCTTTCTGACAGCTCTCGAACAGTTCCGAGTTTTTTTTTCAAGCGATGCTGTGTGGCGGTGCCCGACTCACGAATTTTCGAGATTCGAGAGTGGTGTGGCAAGGCCCTGAATCTGGCCGCAAATTGTAGTCAAATGCCATACAGTAAACACCCTGCGTGACTATGCCCTCCATGGAGTTCATATTTTCTAGTCTGCGCTGAATCTGGTCAGATACTGCTCTGATGTTCATCTAGCAAAGGCCCTGTGTGACCAGGCGGCCTTCACGGCCTTCATTATCTACATGTGTATTATTATGTACAGAACACAACAACAGACCAGTGCTGGAAGCTAGCGATTCACTGACACATTTGTCGCCATGAAAAACGCTTCCTGTGTGAAGGTTCCGTTTGCATTGTCATTCTACTACTTATGTGCAACCCGCGTCAGGCCCGGATGCTTGTGTTCTCTACTTCTGCAGGTAATATGCACAGAACACAGAGTCGACTAACGACATTCAGCCTCCTGACAAGTCGGTGAAACTCCGACTTAACAGTTTGTCACAGCACCTCATTTGTTGTCCTGTTCTCCCTCTCTGCCTACGATTTACCGGGCATACCCACACAGGGACATCACCGGACGGCATTCGACCACAATTTACTGCCAGCCAGCCAGCCAGACTTGTTTCTACTGCTGTTCTTGGACTGAGCTCTGCCTCTTAATTAAGCTGCTCTCCAGATGAGGTCGTCCATCACAGACCCACAATCTATGTCGCAGGCATTCTTTGCACATAAACCAGCCCTAACCGGAGCCCTACCTCTCTGAGCCCAGATGACACGTTGACTTACCTGCACGTCACTCATGCTTGTAACCAGTAGTGAGGTAGCAAAGAATCTCACCGGTCGATCGATCCGAAAGAAAACTCAAGATAGAAAAAAACAAGCACATCAAAAGCTCTCCCGGACATCGATTGAAACCACAGCCCCCGCCTGGACAACCCTGCAATAATACTCTCAACACAGGCCACCGTTAAGTTTAATCAGATCTCACGTCCGTGCCAGGACTCGTTCGCTTTGCAATGCCACGACTTGCCCCTCCATGCATGCCATATCTGCTGTCCATCTTAACAGTGGGTAGCCTCATCACCACCAGCGAGCCAAATCCATTTTCGCTGCATCAATCACTGACACTTCCAGACAGTGCAAACCAGTACCCCGGGTCTTCCAAGCTACTGCCTATCTCAGCTTTGTATCTCCACTCTTCCTTTACAGCTTCATGAGCATCTTGCCCAGCAGCAGTGGGTTTGAAACAACAGTTTTGGCATGCACTTCCACTGTGCCGCTATAGACCTTTGAGACTCTCCCATCCAACATCAAACCTTCAAGAGGACCTGAGTTCAAACCTTCAAGAGGACCTCAGCTCAAGCCTTCGAGCCCACAATACAAAAGGATGCTAAGGCTGTAGCAGACCGGACGGGTATTCCTCCAGTGGGGACCACAAAATGCCAATATGCTCACACCAAACAAGGGTTGAAGCTCCGAGCCTAAGAGCGGTAGCCATGTCCCTCTTCCCTGGCAAGCCTCCGCGTGGACATCCTTTCAGATATCGCCACACCGACAGTCTCTGCACCATGTTTTTCCCGCATGGGAATCACATTGCACAAGCTGGAGAAGTACGTGCTTATATACCAGGGTTTCAAATTCTGGTTTGCAGATGTGCCGCCGTGTAACAGATTGAGCAACAAAGACCATGGTAATCCTGGGTATGAAGGTCGTGACCGGTTCTATGGACTGAGGAATTCCACAGCCAGAGCAACATCGCCATTCGCAGCCAGTAATGCGGATCTAGCAGCCGAGGTCTCAAAGCCCATTGCGACAAGCTGGGCAAGAGCAGCAGAAGAGACCACTCCATCACTACCAGAGTTGTCGGCTTGGGCAGCAGGCAAAGCAGGTCCAGTCAGAGGCAAAGCAGGTGCCCGAGCCTCGCCCCCACCAACCTGCTGTACGGGTACACCAACCGTAACAACGGGCCCGCCCCTTCCTGCCCCAGCGATCCCGCCGGCAGTCGCCGCAGCACTGTTCCAATCTGATATAGCTGCGTTACTGCCGGTGGCTTGAGGTGGTGCTCCCCACCTGTGAGGAGGGACGGCCACCGAGCCACCCAGCGTATGACCCCTCCCTGCGAATGGTCCACTGGTAGGGCGTTGCCCTGCAGATGATGTATGGTCACGATCTGCTGACGATGGCGCCATCGATGGCAACTGCGACCACCCTTGCATCCTTCTCCACATAGTGCTAAAACCAAGGCCACTCCCCTCATGCCCGCTAGCACCGGGGCCGGGTAACCCCACCGCTGCAACATTGCTGCCTCCCACGATGAACGTCGGCTTGCGGACCAAGGGCGCAAGGCATGGTAGACTTTCAATGGCAGAGATGGCAGACGCCGGCAGCGAGATTATGGACAATACACCAGTCGCAAATGCAAGTCCAGAGAGCAGGCCGCTAAGATGCCCAAGAATCGAGACGTTGGGCATGATCACCTGGAACAGAACCAATAGTGCCCATGGGTACCACTGTGCAGGGACAGTAAAGAAACCGAAAATGCTCCTCTGGGTCATTCCACTCATATACGTCTCGGCAACAATCATCGAAAACAGGATGCCAGAGAATCCGATGGAACACTCATACCACATCCGCGGATACGGCAAGATGGGATTGAAAGCAGCCAGATATGCAAGACCACCATGAATCAAGGTATTGGTGACCGCAAACAGGAACACGGAGTACAGGTATCGTGTAGAACCAAGGAGCCTCTCCAGACCACTTCCCAAGGGGACAAAGGTCATCATGTTCAGGGAAATATGAAGCAGGCCCGCATGGAACAGCACGCTCGTAAGTCCTCGATACAGCTCCCACGGGGCGGAGAACATCAACCCCGGTTCCATGCACACCCGATCAAATGCATCGAATCCGACTAGCACATCAAAGAGGTACACACCCACACAGACCGCTAGAATTCCAGATGTCATCATCGGCATGGATCGCCACCAATCCGAAAACCGCGTCATGATGCTCACATCAGAAGTTACATTGGACCTCATATTGACCGCTCCCCCCCCCTCCCCCCCCGGGCCCTCTACTGACTCTGCTTTCCGCCTTGTCCCGCTTTGTACCCTGCCTCTCCTAACTCTGCTTTACGGTTTGTCCCTCTTTGTCCCGCTTTGTCCTGCTTTGTCCTGCTTTGTACCCTACCTCTCCTGACTCTGCTTTGCGCTTTGTCCCGCTTTGTCCCACTTTGTCCCGTTTTGTCCCGCTTTGTCCCACTTGATCCCACTTTGCCCCACTTTGTTCCGCTTTATGGCTTTGTCCCGCTATATCAAGCTTTATCCCGTTTTGTCCCACTTTGTACCACTTTGCCCCGCTCTGTACCCTGCCTCTCCTGACTCTGCTCTGTGCTTTGTCCCACTTTGACTCGCTTTGCCCCACTTTGACCGCTTTGTCCCGCTTTGTCCCGCCTTGTCGCGCTTTGTCCAGCTTTGTCCCGCTTTGGACCCTTGTCTATTGGGAGTTGACAAGAGAGGCCTGTTCTTACAACAAACAGTCTTCGCTGAGCGCTTTCCACTTCCCACTGGAAGAGAAAAAAGCCTTCTTCCGCTAAGGAGGAAGGGAAACCCCTCTGTCGCTGCTGCACTCCAGCGCATGCTCCGTTCTTACCAGGTTATCTACTACGGACAGATCGACCGCCACTTGTCCAGACCCATTTGGAAAAGGCCTCAGCTCGCCGTTAACCTCCACTCCTCTAGATCCACAACATACAGATCAGATTCTGGTCAGCACGACATACACTTGGAGAATGAAGCCTGGACCCATAACCTGCAGGTCAGCACGGCAGAGACGGCAAATGCAACAGACATGTGAGCCCCATCAGTCTGTGGTGGGGGAGGGCAGATATCTCTGATCTTCTTCTTACCCACATGGAATATTTTCGCTCCTGCAAAACAATTGCCTGGCGTGCACGGAAGAGTCAACGTGGTGAGTGCAATTGGGTGGGGACGGAATGCAGAGGGCAGTGGAAATTTCCCGCCATAGTCTGGGGCCAGAAATTGTTAAAAAGAAGAAATTGGGTGAGTGCAATTGCCTCTTAATCCGTGCAAGTGGTGGACCTCGCCCCCCCCCCCCAAGGTCGCCATCCACCCTCCTCATACAGCTAGCAGGAGAAAATAAAAATGAAGAAGTGCCTACTTTTTAAAATTAAAAAAAGAAGGAAAAGAAAAACAACAGGAAAAGAAAAGAACCACAAAAAAGCAGTCTCTGAGAGATGGGTACCAACTACTACCAAGCAACCTCATCGTCACAGTTCTTTGGGGAGATGATGACGACAACTATCATGAACAACGCAGCAAACCACGCAATGGGGGCATGATGTAGGTCAGAGTCTTTTTTTTGGGGGGGGGGGGGAAGGGGGGGGGGGGGCAGGTCAGAGTGAAGTAAATGTACTTCAGAGTAAAGTAAATGTACTTCAAGTAAGTTCCTGACCTTTTTTTTTTTTTTTTTGGGCCACGAGGGAACTCAGGAAAGGTCATTATAGCCGCATTAAACCACCAGTACACCGCCCCAGCCTTGCTGAAAAGAAAACTCATCACTTACGAAATTTTCGGAGGCCCGGCACCGTCGATAAATTGAATCAACAACGGGCGGCCTCCGAAAAGGGCGCGTGGCCGATAGCTGGATGTACTGGTGGTTTCAGTATAGATAGAGCTATAAGGACCGGGCTTTCTATTCGGCTGAAGACGGTAGCTTCTTTTTTCTTTTTTTTTTTGGGGGGGGGGGGGGGGGAAGGGAGCACGAAGGGAACTTCAACATAATTCGTCAGTCCAATCCTGGTGGTAATAAGAGCACCGGCTGGATTTAAGGTTCTGATTTGACGACTGTCCTCTGATTGGCTGGGGGAGCTGCACCTGGTCCTGCTGGAAAACAGGTCCAGTGTCCCTTGATACAGCAAACTTAATTAAAGACATACTCAGGGGATTGCAAGGAATATGAGTGAGAGCGATAGACAGAAATCCAGATTGCAAAATCACGAAGTAGCTCAGATAGTCAAATACCAAGCAAAGAGCGACAAGCACCAAGATACCACCTCTTGCGCCCGCGTGCGTGCGCCCTGCCCGGCTAGAGCTATCGCAACAGCGCTGGCAATGCAGCAGCATGGTCTCTATGCCTGCCTAGGCCAGAATGCCGTGCCCACGGGCGCACACTTTCCTTTATGGACACTGTACCCGCTGCTGGCTGGTCAAGCCAGGCGTGTAGGGGCCCAGTAGCTTCAGGCTGGCCCCAAGTGTCTGCATCCAGGCCCAGTTTCAGATACCGGCCTGGGCCTCGTGCAGATAGGCACGTGCAGGCAGCCTCCCAGGCTCCAAGTGTCTGCCGCTATCTCATTGGCCCGCGGTAGATGTTTGATGACATGCGCTTCATTCTCATGGGTTCGCCGCCTTTCCATGATCTGTCGGCCTCTGAGTGTGTGTGCCCAGGGCGCAACCACCGCCTGAGCGCTGGGCTCAACTGTTTGACGCAGCTACAGCTTCTGGAAGGAGCCATGAAAAGATCATGTTGCTTGGTAACCACCTGGTGTGCTGCAACTGTCTGATATCGGGCATACAAAAAGATGTCCGAAATTGGCCTCAAGTGGATACTCAGGCCCGCCTTCACTTTTAGGGTGGGCATAAGGCTTGCTGGGGTCCGCAGCCCAGAACACTTGCATGTCTGATAGGGACCCCAGGAGGGCTCAATCGTCGCAGGATACTCTGATGGCAGTTCAGTCTACTTTGCTGTGTTCTCAAATGGAGGTTGAGGCAAAACCAATGCCACTCCTCTCCACTGAGGACAAACTGGGCCCTGCCATCTCCCCTCAACTAAGATGAGGCCATGCCGACGTTCTCCCCCCGCCGAGTATGTACTACCATCTTCCCCGGAACATAACGCACCCTAAAAATGAAGGTATACAAGCTATATTTCCGGCCAGATACAGCCAAAATGCGGGTGCGTTGTGTTCGGGGGAAGACGGTAGGCTGCTAAGATGCACCCACGTGATCATCCGCATGTCAATCCCTGGGATCCTCCGCAACCGGCGGACGGCCCTGCTCCCTCTAGAGTAATCCCCCCAATTTGGGAATCAGCTGCTTTTGGGCGCTCCCTCATCTTCGATTGAACCTATGCACCGCAGCAATAATCTCCGACGCACCGGCGACCACCTTCTGCCTGCAGCGTGCATTATCTTTTCTTTTTTCTTGTTTTTTTTTTCCAAAAACAATTGATCCATATATTCCAAGAATCTGACGGTTTTTCCGGGTTGTTTTTGCGAAGCGATTCCCGGCCTTCTTTTGCCTGATTCCGATGAAATGCAAAGTTGATTTGTTAAAAAAAAAATAAAAAAAATCTGACGGTTGGATAAAATGGTTAGCCAGGTTCACCAAGTAACCACTAGCCTACAAATTACCCTATCATTTACTCAAATCACCAACACCAATTCCAAAAAAGGAAAACATAATCCCCCCCCCCCCCCCCCCGAAAAAACAAAAAAACAAAACATAATTCCCTAATTAACCTCTCGCTGAGTAGCCTGAGTGCTACCCTACATTTGGGGGAAGGGATTAACGGACTCCTCTATTATGGAACCTAATACTTCCAACCAACCCAAGCAGAACAGAGAAATGTAAAAGAATTCAGGAAGGACCCAGTGTCTACCACCCTACACGAGCCCAAGATAGAAGGGTACCGAATAAAGGAGTTGGTCTGCGCTCTATTACCTACATGTACTCTCCGCCTACAGCGGCGGTTGGGTTCACCTAGTGATCCCCTCTCCGAGTCTAACATCCACTCCCTTTTGCTTTCTGGTTCCTTTGGTTTGTTCGGCTTTTCAGGCATGGTTGAAATGTTATTTTTTTTCCTCTTTTCTTTACCAGGGTCGCGGAATGTCAGAGCAGCGGTCTAGTATTGGCCATTTCTGTCTCTGGACACATACCCGGACGCCTGCACCTAAACTGGGTAATGGTCCCAGATTTTTTTCACCGGGTTGTTTGTGGAGGGTTTCCCGGCCTCCATATTGCTCTATTGGTAATGAACGGAAAAAAGAAAAAAAGAAAAAAAATGGTTAGCCAGTCGTTAATGGCAACTCCCTCTGCTGTGAACCTGTTTCAAAGAGGACTGAAGGTGGACATGACATGTAGTCACTGTAACTGGGCATTCGAATCCACAACTCATCTGTGGTACGACTGCCCAGCTTCCAAGCGAATCTGGGACTGGTGGCAAGATTATTGGAGGAAAATCTCCAATAAGGAGTTGGAGTGGAGCAGAGAATGGATTTTGCTAGGTGGTCTTCCAGATCACCTGGAACTGAAGAAAGGATGGGGTTACATAGCGCAAGCCGTTCGGGCCACTGGCTGTTCTGTCATTTGGAAGGAAAGAAATCTGCGGATCTTCCAAAAAAGAGAGATGACAAGCAAAGAGATTCGAAGCACCTTTCGATGCTCTCTCCGTCAGACCATCCAGGCTGACTGGAGAAGGAAAGCCCAGGGGAAACCAACCAATGGTTTGGTGAAACTTGGGGCCTGGATGGAAAGTTGGCTAAGTTCGAGGATGGAAAGCTGAGGTTAGATGGATGGTTTTGGGACAGGTAGAAGAGTGGTATACACCTGGGCACTCGGTTCTCAATCCGCAGGAGGAAGGCAGTTGGGATGGACAAGCGGTGTGAGTGCTATTCGGTTAGGGTCTAAGGACCAACGCGCCGTTTTTAGGCGGGTATGAGCACGCCTTAGTGCTGTTTGTAGTCTAGGAAGTTTTAGCTGCTGAGGAGTGGATGAATTTAGTGTTTGAGGACTAGGATGGTAGCTATTTGGTTGGTTGGTCTCCAGCTGGGTGGAATGTAGATTGTTGATAGGCTAGGGTAGGTAAATGCAGACTTGGTAGATTAATGTTGGTTCTCTTGTTCTCCCTACCTCCCCCTTACCTTTTCCCCCCTCCCTTTTGCTCTGTTTTGATCTGCTTGTTTCCTTTGGGTTGTTCGGGGTTGTTGGTCTGAGACACCTTTTTAATTTGGTGGGGGCTGAGTTTTTCACGACAGCGGTCTAGAATTGGCCTCTTCTGTTCCTAGAGTTTACTCGACCTTGTCGAGCGCTGCTCGTAAGCTAAACTGGCTGATGCTGCCAGGATAACTTCGAGTTGAATTGTGAGGTTTCCCCGGCCTCGATTTGACCTGTTTTAATGGAATTTGATTGCAAACAAAAAAAAAAAAAAAAAAAAAAAAAATGGTGAGCCGCTCTGGAAACTGTTCCTGCGAACTCTTTCTTTGTCATACAGAGCCTGCACCGCAAACTCCATGAGCCATGCGACGCACCGGCGACCGCCTTCGGCCCTCGGCTCGGTCCACCCATTTGCAAACATCAGACTGTCTAAGCAGTCGTCTTTAGCTCCACCAGGCTCAGCCTCAAACGGTGGCTGATGCCAACACATGGGCGGTCACAGAAGAAGAAGAGGAAGAAGTGAGCCCTGCGAATTTCGGAATAATAATACAATAAATAAAAAAAAACGTTCCCTTCTCTCTCTCTCTCTCACACACACACACACACACACACACACACACACACACACACACACACACACACACACACACACACACAAACACACGCAAAAGAAAACAGATTGCGTTGTAATGCAATCTCCCTCTTTGAGAACCGCACAGACTCTCTCTCTCTCTTTCTCTCTCGCGCGCGCGCGCGCCTTCACTCACATTCACAACCTCTTGCGATCGTGATCCCGCATGCCATTCTCTCTCTCTCTCTCTCTCTCTCTCTCTCTCTCTCTCTCTCTCTCTCTCTCTC